GACTGTTGTGGGAACACTGTGCCAGTCTCAATTCTGGTACCTGAAGAAGCACTTACTTCACCAGATGTTGAAGTCAAATTGGACATGTTCTCTTCCACCACCAAACCTTTCATCATCTCCCCCAGCCCTTATATTGAATTACTGGATTTTGTGATGATGACACAAACTACAAGGTTCACTTGTGATAACAAAGCCTATGACCCTCTACATACATATCAACTTCATAATATCTGTAACAGAATGTCCTGAGATCTACTTATGAACCCTAATTTAGAAGCTAATGAAAGTGGAAAGCAGAAAATGCAAGAACAGTAGCTGATTCCAGTTTATTCCCCATCCTACTAAATTTCATTTCCTTTTGCTTTGAATTTCTCAGTTTCTTCCTGATAACTCTTCTTGTATTTTTCTTTTAGTATTTGGTTTTTATTTCAGCAAGTTCTAGAAACTTGAAGCTATAAACAAAGAGATAGTGTAAAATGAAAAGAACAAAAGAGTAGAGAAAGAGAGAAGGACTGAAAACAAGTTCCAAAATGGGTTAGCCCCCAAACCTTAAAAACTAACTAAGATAGCTACTCTCTAGTCTCTCCTAATTCGAGTACTGAAAAAGCCTTTGCTTGCTTTAGTTGCAAACAACAAGAGGATCGATATTCAACAAACGCCACACAAAAACTTACAAATTGAAACAAAACACCAAATTCCTATGATACATAAACACAGAAAGAACGTGTAGAGAAAGAGAGAAGAGGGGAAAGGGAGGCGTAAGAGAGAGAGAGATGTGGATGAGAAGAGATTCCTGAGAAGCACTCCACTCATCCAAAACCCAAGCCAACAGGCTTGTTTGTGACGTTGCACTCTCTGTCTTTTCTTTTGTTCTCTTCTTGGTCTCTTGGAGAAAAGAAAAAAGAAAAAGGAGTTCTTATTTTAATTATGAATTCTGCTTCATAAAATAATATTTTTGCTGTCCTTTAAAACCCCTGATTTATTCCCCCATTTCACACCACCTTTCCTCTTCCCATGAAAAGTGGACAAAAAGTAACCCCAAAAAATAAAGAAGGTATAGGATTTTGCATACTAAACAAACAGATGCACATATGCTAGGGAGAGAGAGAGAGAGAGAGACACAGATGAGATAAGCGAAGTTGATTACAGATTTACAGGCTTTTAACATGATGGGTAAAAGAAGTTAGAAAGCAAAACCTCTTTCCCTTGTGAAACTTATATAAGCATGATTGGTTCAGTGATTGAATTCCAGCAGACATGCTCATAGAAAACAGTTCCCAAACATACTATTTAACTTAATATTCTGACTTAAACATTTAATTTGACTTCATTGAGAAAGCTACTAAATCATTTGGAGAAAAATGCAACAGAATATATAGAGGTCGGTCCCCAATATGCCGCCCAACCCATCATCACTTAAATTATTGTTGGTCAGAGAGAGAAATACTTGACAGCAACATGGTGTCATTTGGCAACATGAAGATAAAGAGTCCAGGGGCCAAAAAGTAAGAAATGTCTAAGTTCTGAATGATGAATGATCGAACCGTGTGCAAAAAAACGTTTTCCTTTTAACACATTTCGAGTTAAATCTCTGTGCTATGCTACTCAGATTGGTTTGATGCTGAACAGCTTGTGGTGTGGCTATAAAGACCAGGATTTGGCTGCCTGAGATAACATGGTCGAGCCAGCAAAAAATGTGAGAAAAACATTGACCATTGTCGACCCCACTCCCACAGACCCAATCTAGATCTCAAGACACAAAATAATGTGACATGTTTTGGAGATACATTGTCTGTATGTTTCATTCATGTTTTCACAGTAGGTTTTTGTCTTCACACTACCAAATGGGTCGATAAAAAAAGTTGAGCTTAATTTGCTTTCATTTGTCATTTTCAGCTTTTTTGCATTATTTTATCTGTTTGCTTACTGATTAATTTCAGTTTGGTGTACTATATTTTCTTTCCCACCAGCATATATATGGTTCCAGCTCATCATTCCCTTAGCTTAATTATTTTATTATCCCCAATATCAACATCATGCTCTCTGTTAACAAGCTTAAGACATGCTCTAAACACAGTTAAAGGGGGGTTAGCTCAATATTTAATCTATATTCCTAGCTGCCATAGCCCACATGATTTTTCCTTTTATCCAAATCAACCATAGTCACTGCTGCAATGGTAAATAATTAAGAATGAATTGTAACATTAATTACTTAGTGGTTGACATCCAATAAATCCAAAGTTATTTAAATGTACTACAATATATATAATATATATATACATACATATATATGCAAATGTTATCCATGTGATTGATGACCCCGTGATGTGAAAAGGCTTTGGCTGTTGTTAGTGTTGTTGGGGATGGAATCCAATATGCATTCAACCAGATGAAGATGTCATATCTTCATTCCCTTTTTTTTTTTTTTACAATGTCATATCTAACTTTAATTCAGCTCAACCGACATTTCATGGATATCAAACTTCAAATTCAAACAGATGGAAAAAGTATAGTGATGGAGAGTATGCATATATCAAATTGTAACTTCTTTTTCTTTCTTTTCATTGACTATTAGATAAAGTGGATGAACATGTATTTCGTTTTACCTCTGGTTCCAAACAGAAGAAAGTAATGTTATCCCCACTGTGGGAAGAAAACCCTGAGTCAACACTACGCCTAGCATTTCTCTATCTAGGGGCAGTGAAGGTAAGATAGAAGGCTGTATTGCTTGCCACTCTTGTAGACAAGACCAGAGAAAAAAAATTTTCCTATGGATTTTCCAAAAAGAGCATTCTTAAAGTTCTTCTCTTAAATTACTACTATAAGTTTGGATATGCGGTCTGGGTGCACTACTTTTGATGTAGGCTGCTCAATAATAGAAGGGAATATTGACAGACATTGACATCAGATATTTTGAAGGGTCTACACTCTACACCACTCCACAGGAATGTGAAATTGATAAATAGTAATGGGTCCTGGAGAGTCATGGATAGGGTTCAATCAAGAACCTGAAAACACGATATTCCAGGGTTTAATATAGCTTGTGAAAACAGGTAGAGATTGGTTTTATGGACAGGATTTTGGCTCCACAAACCCTGAAAATAGGTATCAGATATACATGGAACATCAGTCCTTACGGGTAGCATTTCGGTTCTACTAAGGTTAATCTTATCAATTTGGGGGGGGTTAAAATTTTGAAATGACAACTGGGGAGACAAGATAAAACCGACAAAAGTTGGCTGGGACCCTTGGGGCTCAAGGTTAGAGCAAGCTGTGGTTCGTTTCAGATGTGGACCAAGTAATCCACATGGTAGAAGACCCACCTGACTCTATTCTCATGCCACACTCACTCTGAATCAATTGTGTACGTGATAGCTATATAGCAAAAACAATGAATTAAGGTTGGAAAAGAAATGCGACACAGGAACTGAATGAAATGATGAAAGAATGGAATAATCATTCCTGTTTTCACGTATTGCATAGACTTGGAGAAATTTGGCAAGTATTGGAAATGATTACTCCCATTAGCACTGTTGCTGGTTTTTTTTTTAAAATTTTTCCAGCTTTTTTATGACAATTTTTTTGCTATCAAGACAGAGGGAAAGAGGCTGGAACTCAAGGGACGTTGTATTAGAGTTGCCATTTTGGTTAAAAATGTATAGTGCTCGATTCCAATTTGGAAGAGGCTGGACATTATTTCTCATCTTCAAAGGGAGAATGACAACTCACTAACAAGGAAAACCACAAAATGATGGGTTCAGCCCTGCCAATTTGCCATTTACATGCATTTTTTTAAGAGGGAATGGTCATTAATCGAAAGCATGGTCAGAATTTTCTCTCTTTTTTCTTTTTCAAAATATTAATAGGGCAGTCCTGTAGGGACATTGGAGGTGTGAAGGCAGTGAAAAATAGTGTCAAACTTGGCTTATTAGTAGGCTTAGCTCTTCTCCTGATGAACTTCTGTCAATCATGGAGATAAACTACATTCGTTAAGGGGTTTGAGTTGTAAGTTTTATTTCTGCTTAATAATGATACTGAAACTGAAGGGCTTTGTACCCATTGTACCTTGTATTTCCCATGACTTGCCTCCCTGGAAGATTGGTTTGGCCTGTTTTTAAACCATTAAGCCTTTGTAGAAATGAATTTGGAAACATATCTTGATCATGCCAACCCAATCCCTCTTACTCTTGGTATTTCATTCCCCAGCTCCTAGTTAGTTCTCATAGTTTCTTTTACTTGAAGGGGAAAGCATAAACTTGGGGGGTTTTTTTCCAGTTATTAAACTATATATTTTTTACCCCAAAATATTAAAGCAAAGGTTCTATATATTATGCTGTTAAGATGTGTCATGAGAACACAATTTTGGCTTAACCTACCACTTTTTGCATTATTATCTTCCTTTTTTCCCTAGTATAATTATTTATCCGTTGACTAGCATATATGGTAAGGCCGAAATAAAGGAGGATTGTTACTTCCTGCTTTCCCGGGCTCGGCTCTTCTTGTCTCTAGCCACACTGTCTCTTTGTACTGGGTTAATAAATCATATACAGACAAATTTTGGGTGGTTGAAACCTTTTTTTATTTTAATTAAATGAGAAATTTGTCACACGCAAATACAAAATAGTCAAGCTGATTCCAGCAATCATTAATTTTTATGTTAAGGGAGGCTATCAGATAACCCTTCCACGTCGACATGGCACCCACTGGACAAATTGTTATTGCAAATCAAGAATTATTAATTATCTCTTTCGATTAATTTATGGAGTAACTCTTGAATTTCACATCAAATTTTGATGACTGAGCTTGTTTTCCTTCAGATACCACAAATGAAAACAGTTCAGGTATTTAAAATCAATTACAACCTGCTCGGGTTGGGACTGATGTACAGACATCATAGGAAGAGACCTTGATTGTCCCTGACAGGATTCCTTATAAATGGTTGACGCTTGTCTTAAATACCGAACTAAGGGCAGTCTTAGTCTATGATCTCTGGACAAAGCCATCGGTTACTCGCAGCCTTCCTTTGAGACAACATGGATATGGATATATCTCTACATTTGTTAGTTGGGTTACCTTGTACACTGCTAAGCAATGGAATTAAAGTGGAAGTCCCTGATCGTCTGATAGACAGCATCAGTTTTCAATCCTTCCAGGTTTTACTACCAGCAGAGCAGCCTTACAGAACAGCATATCACTTCCAACCTCCTCAAAACTGGCTGAATGGTATGACAAGCTAGCTTTACTAATCTTGTTCTTACAACATCATCTGTCCTAATATCCAGATATTGTAAATTTTTTTTTTATTGATGTGTTTTGTTTTTATCATTGTTTGGTATCAATTCGTTCAATTGACTGCTTCCATGATGGGATAAATGGGTGACATTGACTACACAGATCCTAATGGTAAGTAAGCAACTTCTTTTTTAAGTTACCTTATCCTTTTCTCCTTGCTCATGAGCATATGATGAATCCACTCCCCCTATATCTCCTCATTGTTTGGACACCTCAGCAATTTACCTTTAATTTGGAAGAGAATTTGAAACCAGAAAAAGGTCAAGTTGTGCATTTAAATAGTAACCAGGTCAATTCTCAACTCCTTTTATGATTCCACACTTGAAATAAATGACCAAGTTTAATTGCTAGTAGAAGAATAAATGAAAACTGTGGAATAACATCTGAGATCAGATGAAGCGGTTTTAGTCCCTTATGCTGTTGCAATGCACCTGGATGATCACTTCTACCAGTTTACCGTTCTCTAATGGAAAATAGATGTATTTAGTTTAAGCAGATATGAAGCAACTTTAATAATCAATCCAAGTCATCATCTCTGAGATAGGACCAGGGTGGATGAATCTGAGCTAGCATGTTAAAACTCCAAGTAATGAGCTTTTATGTGAAAAAAGCTCCAGACTAGTAAGGTACTGTTCCATCCAATGCAGGCCCGATGTACTACAAGGGGGTTTATCACTTGTTCTACCAATACAATCCAGATGGTGCATTGTTTGGTGATAGTATGGTTTGGGCGCATTCTGCATCGTATGATCTTATCAACTGGTTCAGTCTTGATCATGCACTTGTTCCATCCGAGCCATTTGACATAAACAGTTGCTGGTCTGGTTCTGCCACAATCCTTCCAGGGAATATACCTGTCATGTTATACACCGGAATAGATGCTTACAATCACCAAGTGCAAAACCTGGCAACTCCCAAAAATCTATCAGATCCATTGCTAATACAATGGGTCAAATACTCCGGAAATCCTCTAATGACTCCACCAGATGGTGTTGAGGGAAATATGTTTAGAGATCCGACAACTGCTTGGCAGGGTCCAGATGAAACCTGGAGAGTAGTCATTGGGAGCTGGAGAAATAACCAGGGCATGGCCATTCTCTACCGAAGTGAGGATTTTGTTCACTGAACCAAGTACCGAGATCCTCTTTATTCATCAGCAAAAACTGGAATGTTTGAGTGCCCGGACTTCTATCCTGTGTCTATTAATAGCACCAACGGGGTTGACACTTCTGTCAAAAATCCTAGTGTCAGACATGTCATGAAGTCAAGTTTCAATTCTCATGACTACTATATGGTGGGGACTTACGTTACTGAGCTGGAAAAATTTCTTCCTGACGCTGACTTTACTGGAACAAGTCTGGACTTGAGATATGATTATGGTAAATTCTATGCCTCAAAGACATTCTTCGACAGCAAGAAGAATAGGAGGATATTGTGGGGTTGGGTAAATGAATCTGATAGTACAGAAGATGATTTACAGAAAGGATGGTCTGGACTTCAGGTGATTTAAATAGATATCTCATATATTTATTGTTGTAAATACTAGCTTTAATTGAGTGTGGTATTGGATTGTATTAGAAGCACATTGATACTCATCGGTTTCTGGAAAATGCTTTGCAGTCAGTTCCTAGGCAAATTTGGCTTGATAGAACAGGAAAGCAATTAGTGCAGTGGCCAGTGGAAGAAATCAATAGTCTACGTGACAATCAAGTCAATATCTATGGTAAGCAACTTGAAAGTGGATCAACTTTTGAAGTTTCAGGCATCACTGCGTCACAGGTGAGTACTCTATTGTCCTATATTGTCACCATCATATAGCATGATTTAGTTTCTATCTTCTCATGAACAGTTTTCCCATTTATATTTCTGTAGCATATTTGAAGTAATTGCATTATCATGACAATTTTCTTACAATGTTTGGAAGGCCGATATAGAAATAGTGTTTGAATTGCCTGAACTAGAAGAGGCTGAGTTCATGAATACCAGTTGGGTTGATCCCCAACTGATCTGTGACAGAGAAGATGCATCTGTCAATGGAAGATATGGACCATTTGGTTTATTAACTTTGGCAACAAAGGACTTGACAGAACAAACTGCAATTTTCTTTCGAGTTTTTAGAGGCCATAAGAGATATATAGTACTTATGTGCAGTGAGCAGAGGAGGTTGGTTACTAACCTAGAAAGACAGACATCCCCACCTCCTTCCTTCTTTCCAGAACTATGCACAACAGTGCAATAATAATTCACATTCATTTGATTCAATGTTAAAATATGTGTTCACAGGTCTTCTCTGCGAAATGAGTTAGATAAAACCACATATGGAGCCTTTGTAGACATTGATCCTCGTGAGGAAATGATTTCACTAAGAAGCTTGGTGCGTTGATTTGTGTTTACTTGTCTCTTTGCAGGCCATTTTTGGTGCATTGATTTGTTTTTACCATTTTTTTTCTTGGTACACCTATTGCAGATAGATCACTCCATAATTGAGAGTTTTGGAGGAAAGGGAAGAGCTTGTATTACCACTAGAGTTTATCCAAAGCTTGCTGTAAATAAAGAAGCCCGCCTTTATGCATTTAACAATGGAACTTTAAGCGTAACAGTTTCAAGATTGAATGCATGGAGTATGAATAAAGCCAGGATTAACTGCAGGGGAGCTTTGGAGAATACAGCATCATGCTAGAAAAGAGAAATCATATCCAAGGCCTTCTTGATTTGTTTTGCATCATTGATGTGGAGAACTTATACTATGGTCGTTGGTGAAACGTTTGTAGTCTGTTCAATTTCTTTCTGTCTCTGGATTTGCAAGGCCCAAAAAGACTGATATGATTTCTGAATAATTCATATTAAAAAAAAAACTTAGAAATGAGAAGAAAACACTTTTATTCAAGCTAATAAAAGAGCTAAATATTGCTTGATTTTTAGTATTATGCTTTCCACTGGTGCTGCAAGGATAAAGGTGGGGATTTTTCTTGCTTTTGACATGAAAAGGTGACAGTCACATGGAATAGTTGGATCAGCTCATGAAAATGATTAAAGTCATAATACTTCTGTAGAACTTTCTCAGAGAAAATTTTTCTTGCAGTATGATTGACATGAATCACATGATAACATTTTTGATTCCAAGTACTGCAATTGTGCAAGTTAGGTTGCAGTTTGTAGTTTTGTTTGTCATATGCTTCCAATTTTTTTTTGTTTTTAATAATGGCACAAGTCAAGGACTGCTGCATTGGGGCCACCAACAGGGCAGGTGTGGTCTAAGACAAGATATCTCATTCATCTCTTTAGAAAATCAATTAACCCTTGTTCTCTTGATTTTGGAATTTCAGAGTTTAAGGAAGACCCCATGCTAGTTGAAGTTGGGGCTGGTTAGGACAATTCCCTATGTCAAATTCGGCACACCAATGGCATATACAAGAAACTTGAACCAGAGGTCATCTCGAGGACAATGCTTCAGGAAAACAGAAACGCCTTCCCTTGGTAGAACCAAAATTTGGTTTTAAAATAGACTTATAGATTTCCATCTTGACCTTAACTGGCATGCATAATAAAATATTGATGTATGTTAACTTAGAACTTGAAGTCTTATAATATTGATTGATTCAATCTGATATGAGTTTTATATTCCGAATGCATCTCCAGGAGGGCCTACTGAAGGAACAATTTACATGTTCTCCAGCTTTAATAATTTCTTAATTATGGAAAAAACCAAGTGTATAGTCAAAGCAAACAGTTTTGGATAGAGTTGTAAATTAGACTTTGTCTCTGTCTACTATATTCTAAATTGATTTACTATAAAATGCTAATGCAAGTGGTCGAGCAGGCTGTTTAGCTTGTTGTTGAGTTTATTCAGATGTTTATAAAAATGTGAGTTGACTGTACAGCTTACTTGATGAAAATGAGCAGAACCTGGCTTGAGCTGACCTTAAATATTTGTACCTATCCACATAGAAAGTCTGTACCAACATTGAGTTGTTTACAATGGCTAAATCTGTTATTTGGTTTGTTGGGTTATTCTTTCTGCTGGGTGGCAATGTAGTTCAAGGCTCTCAAGGAAATGACAAAAATCCTAAGCCTTCTTCAACAGGGCAGCCTTATAGGACTGCCTACCACTTCCAACCTCCCAAAAATTGGATGAACGGTATGTTTTCACAAGCTTTATTTGTTTCTGCAGTAAAGAGTTTGCTATTTCACAACATTATCTTGCTTTATATTAGTTTTCTCTGATATTAATTTCTTTTTTCCTGTTGTTGACATGTAATCTACAAATGGGCACTAATGGCAATGCAGATCCCAATGGTAAGCTTGTTGAACCTTTTTGCCTTTTTCTTTCCCTTTACTTTCTTGATTCTTTCATGTATGAGAAAGTCTACTGTAAATGAAATACCTCCCAAGTAGTCTTCTAGTAATTTTCGGAAAAAAGTAGTTTTCTAGTAACATAAGTAACTACCACATAATTCTTATTTGATTCAGTCAATAGGAAAACATACTTCCTGTACAAACTTTTGGAATAAAGTTTCCAGGTGATGAGCATATCATAGCTTTAGAGAGCATTATGAATTACAAATCAAAAATTGAAATTTCATAGTAATTGTTTTCTGAAAGTTTGTTCTGACACTGTTTCATCTGTCAAAGGACCAATGTACTTCAATGGAGTTTACCATCTGTTCTAACAATACAACCCTTGTGCTGCAGTGTGGGGCAACATGACATGGGGTCATTCAGTATCGTATGATCTTGTTAATTGGATTCATCTTGAGCATGCACTTTATCCAGTGGATCCTTATGACTTCAATGGTTGCTGGTCTGGCTCAACCACACTCCTTTCCAGGGGAAAACCTGTCATTCTATACACTGGAGTTGATACTAAAAATCGTCAAGCTCAAAGCTTGGCACTGCCTAAGAACCTTTCTGACCCCTCCTTAGGAAATGGGTCAAATCTCCTCATAATCCTCTAATGACCCCCATTGCTGGTATTGATCCACAGTATTTTAGAGATCCAACAACTGCTTGGAAAGGTCCTGATGGTCTATGGAGAATCTTAGTTGGAAACCAGATGGATGGCCATGGAACGGCTCTTCTATACCGAAGCAAAGATTTTGTTAGTTGGAGTAGAAGTAAGGATCCTCTTCACTCATCCAAGAAAACTGATATGTGGGAGTGTCCTGATTTCTTTCCTGTTGCCACCAATAGCAAAGACGGAGTTGACACCTCTTCACTGGATCAATCCAACAAGCATGTTCTCAAGGCAAGCTTCAATCACCATGATTACTGTACTAGGAAAGTACACGCCCAACGGTGACAAATTTTCTGTTGACATTGACTTCACAAACACTAGTAAGGATTTAAGATACGACTATGGGAAGTTTTATGCTTCAAAGACATTTTTTGACAGTGGTAAGAAGAGGCGTATCTTGTTGGGATGGGTAAATGAGTCTGACAGTGAATCAGATGACATCAAGAAAGGTTGGTCCGGGCTTCAGGTAATCTAAACCATTCGAACATCCTCTTCTCCTTACTTCTGCTCATAAATTCTCATTCTCTTAATAAGCAAACTGAACGATCTTTAGATGAAAGTGGGTTTAGTTTGAAGATTCTAAAAATCCTTTGTGTTTCATTTCAGTCATTTCCAAGAAGTATTCTGCTCAGTAAAGATTGTAGGCAATTGATTCTTCAAGTTTCTGGCTTGAAAACTTGACAGGTAACTATAAGGAATTTAATTCTAATTCACTGTTTCTCGATACAATCATTTATACATGGAAAGAATAACCTCCTACATTCCTTCATCTAAATGTATAGGCTGATGTAGAAGTTTCATTTGATCTGCCCAATTTGAAAGAGGTTGAAGTAATGAATCCAAGCTGGGTTGATCCCCAACTGCTATGTAGCCAAAAGAAAGCATCTGTTAGAGGCAAAGCTGGGCCATTCGGCTTACTGGTCTTAGCTTCCAAATGCTTGGCAGAGCATACTGCAATTTTCTTCTGCATATTTAGAAACAATGACGATTATGTTGTGCTCATGTGTAGTGATCAGAGCAGGTTAATTGGTTACTGGCCAAACCTTCCTTTCATTTGAGTTGTTTGAATTCTACCTGCATTAAGTTATAGATTTGACATTACAATTCTTTAACAGGTCTTCTTTGAGAGACGGGCTTGACAAAACAACCTATGGAGCTTTCATCAACATAGACCCTCGACATGAAAGGATTTCACTCAGGACTTTGGTATGCTGCTTAGCATTTGATTCATGTTGAAAACAATTCAATGTTACTTAAGTTTCTGTCCTGACTTGGTATCCATCTGTTGTTTCTTTCCCATTTTGTTCTTTGACCCTATACAGATTGATCATTCCATTATGAGAGCTTTGGTGGGAAGGAAGAACTTGCATCACTGCTAGAATATATCTCAATGGCAATTGAAAAGCAAGCATATCTATATGCTTTCAACAATGGCACTATGGATGTCACTATTTCAAGTCTCAATGCCTGGAGAATGAAGAACGCTCAAATAGTTTCTGCCACAAAATGAAGAAAGCAGTGTATCAACTAAAAAAAATGGAAAACAAATGCATCTATGGGATTTAACCAACATTACTCTTCAGTCCTATCAATATCATTACATTCCTACAAAAAAAAAAAAAATGCCCAGCTTATGGGTAAAGGACTTGATGTCAAAGCCTTCATCAAAATAAAGATCCTATTCTTTTTATTTTTATTTTTTCCTTTTATGCAGATCTTTGATTTCTAACTTGGCAAAAATCTTGCAAAGCTGAGAAGTAGATTTCAAAAAAGGCAGTGTTTCATGTATTTTTATGTTCCCTTCTGATAACAACATTAATTCCTCAGAACATTGCATAATCTCTGTAAGGCTAGCAAATATGTACTAGTAATTAAATGCTGCTAAACTGAAACTGATAACTTGCACTTTCCACACTGTTGCCCAAAGATCTTTGAGGAATCATGCCTTACAATGCCATCAAGTTTGGGCTATTAGTCTAGGACAGAACCCTTCTGCTGTAATTTAATTCTCAAAACATCAGATGCTTAGCAGCAATTCTGAACCCCACCTCCCCTCCCCTTTCTGCTTTTTGGATTGTAGAATTGCTAGCAAAAGATTCAAATTGTTCTGGATTCTTGAATTCCAGATCATATGTTACTCATCTAGTTAACTAAAGACTTCAAGAATTATTAAGAGCTAAGCGCAGATTAAAGAGTAAAAAATGCTTCCATTGTATTAGATGTATGTATGAAGCAGCAGAAGAGGAAGCAAATAGTAGCAATCTCTGCATCACGTGTTATCTAGTCAGATGATTATTGCTATGAGTTCTCTTGATGAAAACTGAGGGTATACTCAAATGAACAAGTTGCATTAAACTATTAATAAGAATATTAAATTCATTGAATTTGTCTTTGTCGCTATTCATTACTATAATAAACAAGTTGTATACCGGCCAACACTAAGTCCATTTTGATTCTGTGAAATTCAAGTTGATCGTGCAATACACCAGGAAAGAAGGGAAAAAAATGAAGATGGATTAATCTGTCCTTCAAAAACTTTCTTCATCTTGTAGTATCTTCGTAGGAAGTGTGTAGCTACCATTGAGCCATTGATAATTGACCTGAAGCTGAAAGTTAGAATGAAGATATCTGTTATTTGGGTCATCTTCTTCTCCCTCCTGGTGTTTGACAATGGAATTCAATGCTCTCATGGAGCTGGCAGAAAGCTCCAGTCTGCTTCAACAGAGCAGCCTTACAGGACTGCCTACCACTTCCAGCCTCCCAAAAACTGGATGAATGGTTTGTTTATACAGACTTGATTTGTCTCCGTACAGACTGCATTTGCTATCTAATTACTGTGAATTGGCTTTATCCCTAAATTCTATAGAGTTGATTTTTCTTTTTGTTGTCAATGACATGTAATCTGCAAATGGGCACTTATGGCAATGCAGATCCAAATGGTAAGCAACTCTGTTTCTCCTTGTCATGCTGTTCGTATGTTATTGTCTTGATTAGTTCTGTATTTGATTATAGGAAGGTTAAAGTACATTTCAGATGTTCTCGAAATTCTTCATATGAATAAACCAAGTCCCACCAGTTAATACTTCCCGAGCATTTACTCTATCTCTTTAAAACTTTCTTTTGTGGGATTCAGATGATGTACAGCATGGTTGTAAGTGGGGTTGATGGGTGTGATTTTTGTATAGACGAATAGGGTAATTTACTGGCAATTTTTTGCAGGTCAGATTTTGTCAACTGTACTCAGGCTGATGCCTCCATTGTCGGGTTTCAGTGGCTTGTATATTCATGGGTCTCCCCTGCTTTTGATTTGAAATGAAATTAATTTTCAAAAAAAAACAAAAAAGAGTAGCTTCTTAGCAAATATGGATTACTGTTATTGTTTAGCTAGCCTAAGAATGTCATTGATTCAGGAACAGGAGAATGTACTTTAGTAGATACTTTTGGAATAAAGTTTCCTAGATGATGTGAGATATGTTTTTATTTATATATATATATATATATATATATTGCTTCTAAAACTGATCCGTCTACCACAGGTCCATTGTACTACAAGGGAATTTACCATCTGTTCTATCAATACAATCCTTATGCTGCAGTGTGGGGTAACATATCATGGGCTCATTCAATATCATATGATCTTGTCAACTGGATTCATCTTGATCATGCACTTTCTCCGGAGGATCCTTTTGATATCAATGGTTGCTGGTCAGGCTCAACCACAATCCTTTCCAGGGAAAAACCTGTCATTTTATACACCGGAAGTGATACTGAAAATCGCCAAGTTCAAAACTTGGCTGTGCCAAAGAACTTATCTGATCCTTTCCTAGTGGAATGGGTAAAATCGTCTCATAATCCTATAATGACCCCTGTTGATGGTATTGATCCACAGAACTTCAGGGACCCAACAACTGCTTGGCAAGGTCCTGATGGATTATGGAGAGTCTTGGTTGGAAACCGGATGAATGGCCATGGAAGGGCGCTTCTGTATCGAAGTCAAGATTTTGTTAGCTGGACTAGGAGTAAAGATCCTCTTCACTCTTCCACAAAAACTGACATGTGGGAATGTCCTGATTTTTATCCAGTTGCCATTGATGGCAAATATGGAGTTGATACCTCTTCACAGGAAAAATTCACAAAACATGTACTCAAGGCAAGCTTCAACCACCATGATTACTACATACTAGGAAATTACACGCCCACTACAGATAACTTTTCAGTTGACACTGATTTCATGGACAATGGTTCAGATTTACGATACGATTATGGTCAATTTTATGCTTCTAAGACATTTTTCGACAGTGCCAAGAAGAGACGGATCTTGTGGAGCTGGATACAAGAGTCTGAGAATACAACATATGACATCAAGAAAGGTTGGTCTGGTCTCCAGGTAAAGTAACCTTGAATCCTAGCATTCTGTTGTATCTGCTGATAGAGTTAAAAAGATTGTTTGCAACATAATATGATCAAAAGGACACTCATTTAGTTTGGCACCAGCATTGACAAAGAACAGATAAGTGATGCCGACGGTAAAACTGCATTCCTGCTAATAAGCATTGTAATCAATAAGTAAAATCAATTCTTTACAAGATCAAGAACATTGGTGTTGCAAGGGGGTCTGTTTGAAGATTCTAACGAAACTGATGTATGTTTTTAGTCGATTCCTAGGAGCATTCTGCTCAGTAAAACCGGTAAGCAATTAATCCAGTGGCCAGTTGAAGAGATTGAGGAGCTCCGCGCCAAAAATGTCAGCTACCAGAGCAAGCAACTAAAGGGTGGATCTATACTTGAAGTCTCAGGCATTACAGCCTCACAGGTAATTAATTTATTTATGTCTAGTGCTTAATGCTTAAGAATCATTTATAATTGAAAGAATAACTTACTATGTTCCTCCATATTGCTAAAGGCAGATGTAGAAATTTCATTTGACTTGTCCAATATAAAGGAAGCTGAATTAATGGATCCAAGTTGGGTTGATCCTCAACTAATCTGCAGTCAAAAGACAGCATCTTTTCGAGGCAGTGTTGGACCATTTGGAATATTGGTTTTAGCTTCCGAAGACTTGACAGAGCAAACGGCAATCTTCTTTCGCATCTTCAGAAGTAATGGCAAGTATGTCGTGCTCATGTGCAGTGATCAGAGCAGGTTTTTTACTGGCCAAAAATTCTTTCCATCTTGAGTTGTCTAAATTCCTCCTACAGTGAGTTTTGGCTTATTAGAAATTACATTTTCTTTCACAGGTCATCTTTAAGGGAAGGACCAAACAAAGCCAGCTATGGAGCTTTCATTGACATAGACCCTCTTTACGAGAAGATTTCTCTTAGAAGTCTGGTATGCTGCTTAGCAGTTCACTCTTCACTTGCTACATTTGATTCATGATGAAAATGGAACATTTCAAAGTTCTGAAGAAGATTTCTTAACATAGTGCTGATTCATATTCTGATTACCTCCTCTCTTTCTTTCCACTCTGTTCCCTAGCCTGCTAACATTATACGTTCTGATTCATAACTGCAGATAGATCATTCTATAGTCGAGAGCTTTGGTGGGGAAGGAAGGGTTTGCATCACAGCCAGAGTTTATCCCAAGCTGGCCATTGATGAGCAAGCCTACCTATTTGCATTCAACAACGGGACATTTGATGTCACTATTTCAAACCTCAATGCCTGGAATATGAAGAAAGCTCAAATAGTTTCTGCCACAAAAAGAAGAAAGCCGCATCTCAACTGAAACAAAATAGACAAGTGCAACCATGCCACTTTAGCAAATATATATATATATATATATATTTATTATATCATTCTTATTCAGTCACCCTTTCACTAAATAGTAGCTTATGGATGAAGGTGCTGATGGTGAAACCTTTGAATGAGTTCTCTCTTTTCCCCTTCTATGCAGAATTTCTAGTTTTGGGTGTCAATCAGCTGCCCAAAAGAATGCTGCAATGGAGCACCATTTTTCACATATATTCCCTTCGGATAACAGCCCCATGGCATCACCCCCGGAATAGTTTTCAATCTTTTTGCAAAAGTACTGTCTGAGACAAGCAATTACATGCTTACCACTAGCTTTCACTTTCACATTGTTGTATTGTTAATGGTTGCTTTTCGATTGTACAAAGCATCTTTGCCGTATGCCCCGTATCACCTGCCCAAAAATGCACACAGATTTTGCTATCCCATTAGTGCAAAACTAAACATCTTGATACCACTCCATATCTCCGTCCACTTTCTAACATGACAACACGCCTCCACGCCTTAAATACCAAACTCTGTTTTTACATAAATTACTGCTAAATTCGGATAAGCATCTAATCTTATATTTTTTTAAGTATTTGAATTCATCTCTCTTTATTTAATTTCAAATACAATATACATATGACCCACTCCTAATCTTTCTAACAAAATTATTGTTACCACTAAACCAAATTGTGAATCTAACCATACTTTTATTAAATTTGAAGGTTTAATTACATCTTGACTTTTCCATTCAATTAAAAGTCATGATAAAAATAAACCACATGAATTTAAAAGTATAAAGACTCTTAAGAATCCATAATTTTTCCAATTAAATCACAAATAGAAAGATTAAGGTAACACTTGGCAAAAGTTAAAAAGGCTAATGAACCTTACCACAATAATGAGGATCTAAACTAAAGTATTAATAAGATTTTATTAAACAAAATTGCTATAAATGAATACTATAAAAACTCAAGTTCCCCGGTTGGAAACAACCATATTGGGAAATGAACCGTGTATACCAAATTTCCTTATTTTTCCCTTCTGGTGACACAGGTAGAAGAGAAAAGAAAAAACGGCTTTTTGATAAGAACAGTATCAAAAACTCTGTTTCTATATAAACCAGAATAAAAGGAAAAAAACCAGAGTAATTAATATGATCCCGTTAATAGGCAAAGCTCAATCTTTCTAGCCAACAATCATTTTTGCATCTTTTTTACACAGTAAAAGAAAAAGGGTTTCTTTTTAATTTTCTTTTAAAGAAAATAAAATTTTGGGTTCTTGGAGTTATGAGTAAAGAAGACGATGATGACTTAGAAAACAGGGGAGGGTTAAAACAATCAGCAGGGCGGTACAAATGGCTGGCGAGCTTCCACCGTGATCTGATGGCGGGGGCAGTGATGGGTGGTGTGGTTCACACGATCGTGGCACCAATTGAGAGGGCAAAGTTGTTGCTTCAAACACAAGAGAGCAATTTGGCCATTGTAGCTGGTGGGAGAAGGAAATTCAAAGGGATGTTTGATTGTATCTTCCGTACGGTTAGAGAAGAAGGCATTCTTTCTTTATGGAGAGGCAATGGGAGTAGCGTTCTCAGATATTACCCTTCTGTTGCTCTTAATTTCTCCCTCAAGGTGATAAAATTTATCAAATTTGCCATCTTTTCTTTTTCTTTCTTGGTTCTTGGTAAAAAGTGAAGTGAAAAGTGTGATTTTTCCTTTATATTTAAAGTGAATTAATGGGTTGTCACGGTTGGTAATAAATTTAACAAATTTGTCATGTTTTCCTTTTCTTTCTTGGTTTTTGGTAAAAAGTGAAATGAAAGGTGTGATTTTCTCTTTATTTAGACTTGTGAGATGTTTTATGGAGATGGGTGGGTGAAAGTTCAGTGCTTGGAGAGGAGGTATTCTATGCATGTGAAGTGAATGATAAAATGTTTCTTCGAGATGGTGTGATATTTTTGTATTACTGTGAGGTTGAAATGCTAATTTATGCATTTGCTTTGATTTGCTGTTTTTGAATGCAATTAATGTGGTCATGATGATTCTATTGAAATTTATAGGAGAGTTTAGGGAAAGGGTCCTTATTTAAGCTGATCAGTTTATGCAATCACTATTATGATTTTCGAGTCAAATCTTTTTTTTTTATAATGACTCCCAATTTAATCTTATTCATGGATAAAGTTGAGAACTTAAGAAATCTATCACCTGTGACGGAGTGCTAATTTTCGTTAAGCTTACTCATTAGATAAGAGATAAAAATGCAATGTGGTGGGTCTTTTTTTCTTTTTTCCTTTTTCCATAATTCCTTGTCCTTGGAAAGTGTCTTCCTTTGAATTTTCTTCATAAGTCTCTGGTGAGTTTGTGAAAAATGCTAGACTATTAACTTTTCTTTTGGCAGATAGTATATACCAATTTTATGTAGCCATAGCATTTACTGCCTTCTGCAAGTCCAATCTTGTGCTAGTCTTTTATGGCACCAATTCCATTATAGCCTGCAAGGAAACAGCAAATCCTTAGCCATTATTTGGAACAGAGATTCAGTTATAGAAGGCGTGCTATGAAGTGAGCAATTTTATCTTGGTTTAATTATCTAAGAGAACAGGGGAAATTGATAGAGAGGTCAGTCATAGGATCCTGGTAGGATGGATGGAAAAGGGAAATGCATGGGAATCTTATCTGATTGCAAAATTCCACAGAAATTTAAAGGGAAAATGTTTAGGATGGCAGTCAAACTAGCAATGTTGTATTGGTTTCAGTGTTGGGAATTAAGTATTAACATATGCCAAAAAGAGATGAGCGTGGCTGGGATGTGAATGCTATTCTAAGATCACAATAAATATATTGGAAGATCCAATTAGGAATCTAAGTATGAGAGAAAAGGCAGGATTCATACTCATTGAAGCCAAAATGAGGCCATCTCCTGTAAATACAGAAGTTACATAAGAAGATGTGACTCAATGGAGAATATAACTTCTGTGTCAAGAGAGATTCATGAAGGCTAAATAAGAAAAGGATGGAAACCATAAAAACAAACCTTGCTTACTGAGTTTGCTAAGGATGCATTCCTGAATAGAGCACAATGATAGAAATATGTCCATATAGCCCACTCTATATAACGGGAAAAGGCATAGTTTGTCATGTTATAATGCTCTGTGTGAGTTCTAATATCACTTAAGTTTATGCATGCTTGAGATTGGTTAAAGCTTCTAGCATCGTTTCATGGAATAGTTAAATTCCTGTAATCACTGTTTTGGCAGAAAATGGATGGAATATTATATCTGTGGCTCTGCAGAGTATCAGGAAAAAATATGTGGGATATGATATGCCTTTATACCTGGTAGAGGCAAAAGAGGGTTGCCTTTCAGGGCCATGCCAGATGAAGAGGGTATTAACCGGCAAGTTTAGTTTAGCACAAGGAGCCTTGTTATGGGGAATTCTGCTATGCTTAATATGGTGGTGATTCAGTGTTTTGGCTTGTCATATCATATAGGAGTATATGATAAAGCATGTGACTGAGATCTGAATGCAGTCTGAAGAGATAAAGCTTTTGAGGTTTAGATTCATCCTTTTTTCATGAATATTCCTATTCAACCTAGAAAGGTGTACATATTAGCTGTAACCTGGAGATATTTCAAAATGAAGCTTATTTATTTGTGTTCTTTTCTATACTGTTAAATGAATTAGTCATAATGCTATTGATTATAAGGTTGCTGCGAATAAAATTCAAAAGTTGCCATCAAATTAAAGCATAAGATGAAATTGTTTTTTTCTATGTGTATGTGCATGCGCACACACAGTTTGCCTTTTTCTTCTTTTTTTTCATTTTAGGAGCATTAATTGAGTCTGATTACAAAGATAATCATTATGTTGGAATAATAGGGACAGAAAAGTTAAGAGAGTTATTAAATATATGGCCCTAATTCTTGGGTTGACAACTCTTGTTGTAAGAAGTAATTATAGTGTTACTTTCTGGAAGAGTATTAGAAATAAGGGGATGAATTTGCCCAACATATTGCCATCAGTGAAAAGTTCATTGGAATCACTTGAAAATTGCAATTGACATAAGTTGGTGACAGTACATTTGAATTACATAAAATTTTACTTGATGGTAGGCAAGCTTCAAAGTCCTCAAGGGGATAGCCAAGTGTTAAAAAATGGGACTTAAAATTAAACTAGGAGACCTCAGGTTTGAATCTTGGGGATGGCAGGGCTAGGATTTATGTAGTAAGAGGGAGTTATCTGCTTTTTACGTAGCTCAAGGCCAAGTAAGTCTCCATATGTATGAAAATATTGTCTTCAAAACCGGTGCATAAAAAATGAAAAGTAAATAAGTTTTTGCTTGAGTTTTTGACTAGAACTCAGAGTAAACTTACATCATCTCTGTATGGTCATCTTTGTTTAATTACTTTGCATCTCTTTATGCAGGATTTGTATAGAAACATATTAAGAAACGGCTATTCTCATGATGGCCATGTATTCTCTGGAGCATCTGCCAACTTTATTGCCGGAGCTGCAGCTGGTTGCACAACATTGATTATCATCTACCCACTTGACATTGCTCACACTCGGCTTGCTGCAGACATTGGGAGAACTGATGTTCGTCAATTCCGAGGTATCTACCATTTCCTGAGTACCATACGTCAAAAAGATGGAATTCGGGGAATTTACAAGGGTCTTCCTGCCTCTCTACAAGGGATGATTGTTCATCGAGGCCTGTATTTTGGAGGATTTGATACAATGAAGGAAATTTTGTCAGAAGATTCGAAAACAGAATTGGCATTATGGAAGCGTTGGGTGGTGGCCCAGGCTGTGACTACATCTGCTGGATTGTTTTCATATCCTCTAGATACAGTTCGGAGGCGAATGATGATGCAATCTGGCTTGGAGCAACCAATGTATCGTAGTACACTGGATTGCTGGAAGACAATATATAGGACAGAAGGGGTGATTTCATTTTACCGTGGGGCACTGTCTAATGTTTTTAGGAGCACTGGTGCTGCAGCCATCTTGGTTTTGTATGACGAGGTGAAGAAGTTCATGAATTGGGGTGGATTGTAGTAGAAAGCAATTTTTGACAGTTTTCATTTTTGAGCAGAAGAATTAGAGTAGAATGAAATTCAGGATTATAGCAGGAAAATCTTGTAAAGGGCAACCGAGGTTGATACTCTCAAATGCAAAGCATGCACTAGATGACATTCATTTGCCACATTACTTTTTCAAAACTTTGGCAATTCACACCTGAATTTTTTTTCTTAACGAATAAAAGAGCAAGTTGGTGCTCAATCCTGTGTTGAGGTCATTATCAAATTTCTGTTCTTATTCTTGTTTACAGCTTTGTCTTTGGGGAGGAGAATGAAATGGGTTCTCTGCCAGTTGGCCCTTTCATATCAACATCCACATCCCAGTGTCTGGAATATTCTTGGGGATATCCAGAGGACCCAAAACCACATGGATTTGCTTACTTGTTTCGTTACTGCTTCCGATGCATCTCATGAAAAGTTAGCATCATGGAAACAAAATAATTTCCCACTCTTTTTCTGAAAGTCTCTTTCCTTTCTTTACATGATGCTACGGGCTACGGCGCAAGAGATTGCAACAAAGACAATACTGGTAGTAAGAGGAAAACAAAAACTCATCACTTCAACTAAAAGCAGTAGAAAATCTGAAGTCCTGATGCTGAGCACCTGTAATTCCAATGATGTTGTGGCAATGATCTCACGTTCACTCCCCTGTTACTTCAATCTTTAATTCCTGACCCACCTGCACTTCTTCACCTATTGTCAAAGACTACGGTCGTGTTTACTCTATAATTTCTCACTCACTCTTATTATTTGTGCGCCCTTGATGTGCTTGCTGCTCGGGAATAGATTTATGTCACCTTCCAGGCAGATATCAACGACAACAACCACCATAATTTAATGCAACAGTTGTAATAAACTAGTGCAAAACATGAGTTAAGCCCCAGCTGGTACACAACATCATATGCTGTTTTCTGGAGGGAAATATGCTTATTAATCAAGAATCAGTGCATAAGTTATTCAGTTATGTTTCTGTGTATCTCTCTCTGCTCCCCGAAGTGATGTAAGCTTGACTCTAAGCGACAATAGATGGGGGTGGCATTTAGCGATTGGTCAAAGACGTATCTGGGGGAGGTCTTAACTGGAGAGGATTGAGAGCCATAAAAAATGGGCCTAAACTAATATTAGGACCGATTAGGTATGAAGAAATGGACCATAAAAATACTTACATGCAACAGGTAAAAGTGGGAACCCCATAAAGAAGCCAAAGCAAAACCATGACTTCACCCATCAATTGGAAAAAAGGGCAAAAGAAAACAAAAGGTGATGAACTGATAAAGTACTTAAAAGATGCTTTTTCCAACTTTTAGACTAAGTTTTTTTTTTTTTTTAAGACCTAAAACCCTACCATTAAGGAACTTTCAGTGGGGTACTTGAGTTGCCCATTTCTCATTACTTCCACTTAAATATACACACAAAATATCACTTTCTTTTTAACTTTCTTTCTTCCCACAAATTGCTTATTGGAAGAGAATCATAAAGAGATTCTTCTTACGTTCGGCTGTAAAGATTCTATATGGGGTCTATTGATAGGGTAAATCAAGACCATCGCATGGCTGCCATGTGTATTTTAGTAATTTCATTTTCTTAAAAATAATCCCTAGGTGACACCCCACTCTGGAATTGTGGATGTGGTCATTTGTGGGTTGCTGTTTGATGGTTGTTCTTGTCATCAACCATGCTGTCTTTTCCAAACCCAAAGGGCAAAAAATAATAATAATAAAACAAATTTGGGTCCCATTGACTTGAAGTGGGTGTTTTAGCTTTTACCCCGACTCAGCCATTCTTGTTTTCCTTAAATTGGAAAGATTTCCCCCAAAGAGATTGTTTTGGGTACCTGTAGCTCTCCTCAGAACAAATAAATATACATTGAGATCCTTCCATGGGGTGAGGTTCCAATAAGGACATTCCACTTGCTCATTTTCTATTACCATTATTGAATCCCTCATCATAACATGCAATTGATTGCACTTAAAGATATTTAAGATACCATGTACTTCACATCTCAACAACAGGTTCACACCAAATTGTTGCTTATTATTATAATCAAAACACCTGCATTCCAGTTCTTGCAAATTAAGAAACCAGTCTTAATAGATGCCAAATTAATCCTTATTAACTCACCTTCACCTTGGTGAATCCCCTGGACAACGAGTAAAGAAAATTCAGAACCAGTCATGAAAGGAGAGCCGCCACGCTAGAGAAACGCAAGTGGGTTTAGAGAGCACCAAGAAATTTGGGTGATGAAATGAGGCTGTCAGGTGGCTGAAGCGAAGGTGTAGCCATGGCATGACGCACCTTTGATTACTGTCTGATGGCTTGGTGACAATTTGGGCCTTGTCTTTTGCCTTCACCTTACTTGTCAGCTGGCTAGCTTCCCCCGACACATTAGTATATACTAAAAATTACAGCTTCCCACTCCCTTTCCTTGCTGTTTAATTCACTTACTTAAGCATCTAGCTAGCTTCACATCCCAGCGGTCTTTCTTTCTCGTTTCACAGCTCATCCTCAAGTGTTCTTGGGATCATCAAAAGTAGTAGTAGGAGCAGGAGGAGGACGACTGTATTACTTTTTTTTTATATATTTAATGATCTAAGATCTACTTTAAGGTAGAAAAAGAAGGAACTCTTTAGACTTCATCTTGTTATTAGTGCAGCAAATTATAGAATCTTACACAACTAGTTGGTAGCTTCAACCCAGACAAAGAATAAAGATACATATTCATGAAAGTTGAAACAAAGAAGAATTCAACAATCACAATCTCAGAAAAGATTGAACCACAAATTTGTGGAATGAAATCTGTGAGAATCAAACAGAAAGAGAGCCAAGTAAGAATTCCAGGATATATTTTTTTTTTGGTGCTTAATAATTGGAAGAACTTTGTCAGATTATGCGACAATGCCCACTTGGATTGAAGCTCGTCATTGTCAGAAAAAAGCATCACAAAACCTCTTCCCCTAAAAACCCAGATCACATTATTAACCATTCTTTTTCATCTGGAACCTACCTGGAACAAATTTCAACGGCTCTGATTGCTTAATAATTGGCAATGGACCCCACTTCATGGGCCCCATTCCACTCATTGCTCTTTGTCCTAACTCAGATCAAACCCCTGAGCCCCTCCAGCACCAAAAGCTCAAACCCCCATAACTCCCACTTCACATATCCAAAGAAGCAAAAGAAGGGAGGGAGGGAGGGAGGGAGGAAGAAGAAAAGTTTCACACATACAATCTCATTCACTTGATTGAATTACTACAATTCCCTAACTGCTATTATAATACCTTCAGACTTCGATATGCTTGCAGTGTTTTTCTTTTTCTTTTGACCGGCAAAGCTAATGGGGAAAGAGAGAAAAAGAGGCAGAAATTATTTCTTTTTGGGAAATGGACTGCCTAATTTTATGTTACTTCAACTTACAAAGAAGATACAATAATAATAATAATAATAATAATAATAATAATGACCAGAAAAAAACCCCAGATTAAAAAAGCATTAAAAATGGCAGCTTGATTTATATGATTTTTAATGCTATAATCTATATATCATACCCAGAGAGCGCCAACTTCGACGAGCTTTGCACAAGTGGCCACTAAGGTGAAGAGCCACGAGGGATTCAAGGCCGCCGACGCAGGTTCCACCAATGAACACGGCGGGGCTGGATTCCAGAGAGAGGCTATCGTGAACGGCGGTGGAGGGAGCGAAGCGATCTCATGGTCATCAAGTTCGATGACAGTAGGGTTAACCCCGATGGTGGCTAAGAGCTTTTTCATGACGTGGCACATGCAACAAGAAGATCGGCTGAAGATGATGACAGGGTGCTCTGATATCAGCCTCCTGATTCGCGTCTCCGTTGACTCCTCCTCGTCTATGGAAAGCCCGCCGCTGATGGTGGTGGTTGTGGTGGTGGTACTCATGGGATTGTTGTTGGATGAAGAGGAGGAAGGTGGTGTTGGCGGTAGTGTGTTAGATCAAGCTGCACAACGTCACTTGAGCAACTTCTTAGGCTTTGCATCGCCAGAGAGAAAAACAACAAAGCTTTTGTGCGATTGTGTGATGTCAACGAGGAAAGCAAGTGGGATGGGAGTTAAATATAAATCAGAGAGACAGAGAGAGAAGAGAAGAGAAGGGAAGGGAGAGAAGGAGCTATGGTTGCTTACATCAGAAAGTACTGTGTTACATAGGTTCTCTTTATTTTCTTTTGGGATCATGGGATTTTTGGGGTTGCCAGAGCTTGGGTAATTAAGCCCACGCGCTTTAAAGCAAAACACTTGCTTTGTGCGTGTTTGTGTTTTGTTTTATTTCACCGTATTCATGTGCATGTGGGCAGAACGCCACATTGGCATTTCTAGCAAAGGGAAGCGACTGAGGGGGTTTGGGTATTTTAAAGGTGACAAAGAATATCGTTTTTGTAATAACGACTGGATTCATGCGATAAGATATTAGCAGATGTTTTCTTGTCCTAAATTGAGTTGGATAGTCTTTTGTTATTGTGATTGCCATGTTGCTATTCTTTTAAGGCCAAGAACGCATGTTCTAAAGGTTGCCCATAGATTTTTTCTTTGTAGTTGTTGATGTTGTTGTCAGGTTTTGAGCTGTGACACGCATATTGATATGTCATCGAGTTTCTGATTTGTTGTAAAATTTTGTCCCAAACATAGTCTAATAACCATAACTAATTTCTTTCTCCTTTTTTTTTTTGTCTTTTGAGTTGCCTTTTTTGATATAAAAGAGAGGATACACAAGTAAGAAGCAAAAAGGGATGATTAATGATTGGAGAATGTGGATTGCACAATGCTGAGGCAAACGAGTGAGGAGTGGCTATATGTCGTGCGCTCACAAAATACGGTAGTTCGGAAATACTGGATATTTGCCGGAGAGCTGGCGTGGAGCAGTCACATGGGGGAGGGGGGGGGGGGGGGGGGGGCCGGTGGTGATCCTAGCAAATGACCAACTTACGTCACCTTCTCTCCACGTGGAACACTTAGATTGTACCGTGACGTACCCTAAGAGCTATGCCATTTCCTCTCTCGACCATTTTCTCTTTAATTTTATTATTAAAAAATAGGACAGTAAAAGCAACGAAAGAGCAAACGCTATGGGCAAAACAAGGAGAGCTGACGTGGAGGGAATACTCCATTGGGGGTGAAGGGGGATAAGTGGACCCCACTTCGATGACATAATCATCGGAACGAAATTTCACTTTCCTCGTCATAGTGACGTTCCTGAGCGACACGTGGCATCAGCGTTTCACTTTCCTTCAGGCGTGGAGGTTGTGGGCTTTCCTGGAGGAGAGAGACTGAGGTTGGGGCCCGCCAAACCTTTTGTATTCAAAGGTTCAGTGAATGAGAGTGTGACACGTGGATTGGCAGCGTTGCTGCGACGGTGATGGGACGGGGATGGGGCGGGGGCAGGGGTCTGCTTTGCTTTTGTTCTGTTTGGCGTTGTGGGAGGAGGGGCCCACCATCATGAATTCGGAGTGTCGGGGTAGGTGGGGGGTGAGAGGGGAGGAGTCCCTTAAAGGAGCACCGTTTGATGGTGTAAATGTGGTGTCTGCCATATGTGCTGAGATAAGCAAAGAGAATTGCATCAGCCTCACTTGCGCTTGGGCCCACTTAACCCTCTCCCCTTCTTAGTTTCATTTATAACCTCAATTATTCGTTTCAAAGTGTGCTAAGTTTTTTTTTGTTCGTTTGCTTTAAAGGTGCTTAGTTTTTTTTTTTAAGAAAATAAGCATTGTGTGATATTTAAAAAATCTTTAAAAATATAAATATATTTAATTTAATGATTGATACATTATTCTTACTCTATTCAAATTTCCTTCTCTCAAAAATTAAAAACAAATCTCAAAAAAATGAAAAAAAAGAAATCGTTAATGATTTTTTCTTAATTTGAATGATAAAATGAATAATTTATTTTTTTTATAAATTCAAATTTAATATTGACATAGCAACACGTCAAAATATTACGTCCCTTTTAGGAAGAGAGGAGCTGACCACTATTTTCCCACTCGAAACATGATGAACATTTATGTGTGTTAAAATTACAAGTGCGACCCATTCAATTTTGACTTTTTAATTTTTTTTGGGGGGTAACCGAAAGAAAGCAAAGATTGGTTTTGATTGGAGCAGAAGATTCAAAAGCAAAAGAGCAGGAACCATAATGCCAATTGATGAGAGGGATGTGGACCAAAGCAAAGTCCCTTTGACAAAATATAAAAAGCAGGAGGAGAGAACACAAAATAGCTTGTGGAAGTGGTACTCGTGGTCACCATGCATAAGGTCAATTCCGAAGATCAAATCAGCCAAGTTGTCGTCATGCTCAACATCATCAGCCATTGTTGATGGAGGGAAAATCTTAAAGGGCTTATATTGCCAGAACTCCTCAGAGAGCATGCCTTAACACGTCTCGACTTGTCCAAAGCAATATATATATATACATATATAAAGGAAAAGGCTGAATTGGATGGCACAGACCCGGCATATTTACAGCATTGGCAGGAACCACCTTTATATTTCGTATTATGTATACTCTTCTGATGTCCATGAACTCTACCCACATGTACTTTTTATCTTTCATTTATAACGTTCCCCCAGTATTGGTCTGCTCTACCCAGATCTTCAATTCTCGTCCCCAGTTTTGTTTTAAATGCCATGGGCTTGCTTCATAAAGTGGTTCAAAATTAGTTAAAAGAGGTGTTGTATGAGATGGGGCAACCGTGTGAGATGAGGTTTCATGGTCCCATAGCGGGGGACCCATCAACAGTTATTAACTCTTTCGGTGGCTCCTTTATTAGGTTATGACTCAATCAATGAAGTGCCACTAAAGTTGACAAGGTGACCAGATGCCCTAGCTTATAGGAACTTAGAAGACAAGCACCATGCAATCGAATTAATTACGTGAAACATAGCCTTTACTAATCACGTCTACTACAGTGTATCAAACACTTGGAAGGTAGGTTTTTTCCTCTCCCAAACGGGTTTGTATTCAGTTGATGTGTAAAAATAAATTCAAAATTTAATGTTTTGCGATCTATCGCATTTAAAAAATAATAAGACAATGTGCATCATGAATATGTCATGAATACGAATGCGATCCAATAACACTATCATCAATTATTTTTTATAAAAATCAATTTAATATTTTTTATTTCAAATTCATTTTTTTAATTTAAAAAATATATAAATTAAGTAAATAAAGATTCTTATTTATAAGTTAAAGACTCATTCAATTTCATATTAAAAGAAGTTATTTTAACTATAACAAAAAAATCCCACCTTGATTTGGATCTACTTTGATTCTAGTACCTCTTATAAGAGCTCTCACATAATATGAACTCATATTTTCAACAAAAAAAAAAACTTATTGAGTAGAAAAGTACCTTACTTATAATTTAAGACCTATTTCAATTTTTACTCATATAAAATCTATGACATTAACATATGTTAAATGATTGAATATCAATATATATTTTTTTTCAACAAAAAAATGAATTTTTGTTATCACGAGCTTTTGACATAATGATAATGTATCACTTAATTGTCTTTAATGTTGTCAACTCAAAGATACAATATCTTCCAATAATTTCATAGAAAATGTTGGGCGCATCTTTGCCCATAGATGAAAAAACTAAGCCAATCAGGAGAAATTCATGTAGCAAGTGGGAAACCCACGAAATCAATATCCCCTCCCCACACATATGTGTAGGCGTGCTTAGTTTTCACATCGTAAAAGCAGTAGCATATTTCACCACTATTATTTTGTTTTTTCACATAATCACCGAACCTTACTATGCATCGAAGTTGCGTAAATAACACTTCCTCTTTTCCGACATTCGTGGAGAAAACTATCATAATCTACACTTTCTTTAATTAAAAACTTTTTAATTTAATCATTTCCTTGTTGATAAGTGCCAAACTCCTGCAACCAAATTTAAAAGAACCTCCCCAGCACGCGCCTCGCGAGAGTGTGGGGTGTTTTTTTAAGATTTTTTTTGACTGGGGAGGTCGCTTTTGCCATTCTTACACGATTCGTTATTTAAGACAATCCCCACGTGAGTGACCACATGTCCGTACCTTCGAGACGCGGTGAACTAGGAGATGCTGTCAGCAAATCCGTAGCCGTGACCCGGATCCGTATCATATCCATATTGGGTACAGGCTTCCCAATCCAGAAGGGGGAGGGGGTTGTGTGTGTGGTGATCGTACTTGGTGCTCGTTGCTCATTACCCCCACCCCCCCCGTGCGCACAATAGCAGAGCCCCTGTTTTTCGTCTTTGCACTTTCACTTGTCGGCGCCGCTGGCTTTCTTTTTTTGTATATATATTTGAACTTACACGTATATTTATGTATCGTCGTTGTTTTTAATGAATTGAGTTCGTTGACTGATTGATGGTGACACATGGGTGACGCAACCTGATATGACTGTCCCAGGTCAGATGGTGGGACCCGGTGATGTCATGATCTGAATCTCTGTCGGCTCATAAGTGTAATGTAGTTTCCCTTCGATCCTTTTACCAAAGGAAGGGATCTTTGCTTACCATTATCATGGTTTTTGTCCCCTCACCCTGGAAATTTAGTTCTGATCAGGGCCGTACACGTGGCAGATCAATTGTAATGTTGTGTAATTAAGTTGTGGGGTAGATATCATCGGGTCAATCGAATTATATTTTGGTTAGGTTTTAACCCTACAAAAATATGAGACACTGAGGTGAGGGGGTGGCGTGGGGCCGCATGGACATTGATAGTTCATTGGAGCAATAATGTGGAGGGTACTGAATTTCGGGTACCCATTTGTCTATGAATCTTGATTCTTTGATTGAAATTTTTATTCCATGGACAATACTTATATTAATTTTTAAATTAAAATCCACCCACATGTATATATTAAATGTACATCAAAACAGGATAGAGTTTGTCAGTTTGAGCGATAACTTTGATTTTTTTTTTTTTTAAGATATGTAATGCATACAATCTTGTCTTGTCTATAAAATCACCTTGATGCTTCATGTTAGAAGAACAAAAAAAAGTGTTTGCAGCTTGTATATGTTCAGGAACTAGATAATTGACTCCTGAGACATATATAGATGGCAGGAGCAGTACGTAGCTTCATAGCTCAGGCCAATGCATTTTGATTTTAACCATGGTAAAAGTGTTGAAAAGTCTTTGGGACTGAAAAGAAAGGAATTTATGGGCCATTCCAGTTTTACTTGCGCAATGGGTTTCGGAAGATTGTACATAGCAACAGAGATGAAATCAGATAAATGTTTTGACTAAACGAAATGGGGTTGATAACATTATTTTCTCTAGTCAGTTCACCCTTCCTAGGGTTTTATTTAGTTTGGTTGGGCGAATCAGATGGACATAGAAAAATGAAACATTATCCTCTGGCTGGCCCTAGGTAC